AGCAGCTGAGTAGCTGCCTTTGGGTATGTGGTCTGCTTCCTGTATATAAGGAGCTTTGAGAAAGGTCTCTAGCCTATGGCACGCTTGAATCCTGCATGTAGCTGTGTTGCTGCTCAGCAGCCTGCTATGCTCTGCTGACCTTGGGACTTACAACGGACTTAAGTTAATGGCCTGCCATGTGGTTTGGTAACATCGGGACTGTGCCTTTTTCCTTGTCAACCTTGGGGCTTCTCAGCCTCAGCAGCCAGCAGCTGTCTGAGTGAAGAAACGCCTCTAGCTCCAGTGGGCCGGGAGCAGGAGGCAGAGCTGGACCCCAAGGTTGAATGGCTTTCATCCAGCCCCTAGAGCCTGGCACTTTGAACTTGGACTTAAAGCCTCCAAATTGTAAGAATAAACTCCTGTTTGTTAAGGTCATCCCTTAACATATTTCTGTCAGAGTGGCACTAGGTAGCCAGAACACACCTTTTAAAAATTGTGTAATTTAGAAGCCAGATTCTGAAATGGAATCTGGTAAAAGGCATTTTCTAAAACTCTCGAGTGGTGTCTCATTGCTTACAGATTAAAGTTCAAGCTCTCAAACATGGAACACAAGATCTCCTTCTTTTGTTCCCCAAAACTGAAAAAGGTAGTCTTGCTTCACATCACTTCTTGCCTCACAAATGACATTCCAGCACCATCACGTTGCCTGTAATTCTTCACATACACATTATACAGTTTCTTATATTTGTGACGTGTTCACAGTAACCACCCTGACAGGAGTGTCCATACCCCCACCCTCACTGTAAATCCAAATGTAATTTAGGCATTACTTTATCCAGGCAACCTCTTCTAATTTTTCCACACTGGGTTAAGTAGTGCTGTGTTCTATGAAACTATGATCAGGTCAATTCAGCTCTTATTATATAATGACGTGGTCAAATGTGTTTTTCCTACCAACTAAAATATGAACTCCTTCAGGGAAGCAAATGTGACTTATTTATCTCTGTCTGCCTGGTATTTAGCATAGTACTCAATAAATGTCTGTTAAAGGAATCAATGACATTGCTATCAACACTATTAATGACACTTCAGCCTAGTTTCTTACTGAAGGTAATCTAGGTGCAAAAAGGGCAAGGAGGCCACATGTTCTGACCTCCTAGAACCCCGCAAGAGGAAGGTAGAATCACCATCAATAGCCCAAGACCTATTACTGCAAGGCCAGACATGCTGCCTCCCTCCAGCCCTTTCTCCAACCATTCCTCCCAGAGCACCCACCACCTCTCTCCTGGGTTCAATAATTCACTGCAGTGGCCACGCAGAACTCACAGATTATGGGGTTTATTAGGGAAGCATCAGGCTACAATTAAAGTTCAGGAAAAAGTGCTCAGTCTCTCTCCCAGCCCACCATCTCTCAGCCAAGTCTCTCACAGTCTCTCCCCCAGCAGTGCATGTCCCTCGGTGTCTCAGCAATGCATGTCTCTTGCGTCTCTCTCTCAGCAGCGCGTGTCTCTTTCAGGAGCACGTGTCTCTTTCAGCAGCACGTCTTCCTAAACCAGCAGTCAGAGAGAGTTCTGCCTCTAGGAGGCCACCTTTTGAGCCCCGCAGGGTGGTCAAACTAGCCAATCATAGCATCAGAACTTTAATCACTTGAGAGAGAGGGGACACCTCCCAGAACATTGCGTTGTGCCACGCCCAACAGAAATAACCCAGGTGGATAACATTTACAATCAGCAGCTCCTCAGTTGCTCATTCCACCACTGAGTTTACAATGACTTATGGGTAGAAAAGTCATACTAAGCAATTTACTACACTGCACTAGGGTTATGCAGAGTAAGTAGAATATACAGACACATAGTTGTTTTACTCTTCATTTATTGAATTTTGGCTTCAGAAAACCAAAGATGTACCAAGTGTGAAGAACTGGGGATACCTGTGGAAGATTTCAGCTAACAGATAACATGGAGAAAAGAAACAAAGATATAAGGGGGCGAGAATAGGTCCATAAGCTCAAAAATAATGGCCTCCAAGTATTCAAATAATGTGGTTACAAATGCAAATCTAGATGTAAAATCAGTCTGCATCGGGTAAAGAGGACATACATGGAATCTTTAGTAGTACATAAGCCTAAAAGGAACAGCCTCAAAGTTTTCAGATAATTAGGACACAGATACAAATCTAAGTCTGATCTGTATCTGGTAAAAGTGACACACATTGGGGTAGTAAGAATGTGAACCAAAAACTATCTGCTTAACAAGTCAATAACTGATATTTAACAATTGTACTCATAAATTTAATCTTTGCCACTATATAATACTAGCTGCTTATCTGTAATAATTTATGAAATGAATAATGTTACCTGAATTTTGCTGAAATATTTGTAATCATATATTATGGACTGGAAAGGATCTCAGAGATTATTTGGTACAACATTTTATAGATGACAGATACCAAATCCACGGAACTGAATGACTTTGCTGAAGGTCATGTAAGTAGTTAGAAGAGCACCACAAGAGCTCCTAGCCAGATCCAGTATTGGATTTTTACTATTAAATTCAGTTTTCCTTCGGCTACATACTGCCTGAGAGGAAATTTCATTAATTTTCTCCTAAAATGTACAACAATGAGATTTGTATCCAATCCCAATAACATGATCACTTACAAGAAAATTACTTGTTTTATATAAAAAAAATGATTTTATTTTAGTAGAGATATTTCATAAACTATGCTAAGACTGGGAAATTCACTTAAGAATAATTTCATGATTGCTTCTAAGGGAAAACTTACTGAACATTAAAACCTTTAATTTCTATACTATATTAGTTAATGAAGGCTTAATTTTATCTGATTCTTCTGAATCATTATTAATCTTGTCATCAGTCAGAAAACAAACCCAATGAGTGAATTTATAATTGCCATAATTAACATAATTAAAAGTTACAAATAAATAACTGGATTAAATGTTGCACTATAATTACTATCATTTTAAACCAGGTTATCTAATAGAATGAGGTCATTCTTTTGCACTTCATCATATTTCAATTTTTTTTCAAAGATTTTTCTCCTTTTATTTATATTTTTTTAATCTTGATCACTAAAGAAATAAGGGTTACCATATTTTGATTAAATAGTAACAAACAAAGATAAACAACCCCTTAAATACCTTTGTGTTTCTTTCCAAGTAAGAGACTGAATTATTTTTTTAAAAAATTTATTTTTAAGGGGGCCATATGATGAAACTGAGGAGCTCTGGTAGCGTAGTGCCTAAAGCACTTGACAGCTAATCAGAAGGCTGGCAGTTCAAACCCACCAGCCACTCCTCAGAAGGAAGATGGGGCAATCTACTTCCATAGCGATACTGCCTCGGAAACCCAAGGAGGGGATGCTGTGAGTCGGGTCCAACTCAAGGGCACATAACAACAACAACATGATGAAACTGAGTCATGAAAAAGTGAGATGTGTGAGAGCTTTCATGGCTCTAATGCTAGAATAGGGAGGTGCAGCTTCTTTAGAATTTGAGCATGGCTCCAGGGAAGCATATGATAAGAGGAGTTAACAGGGCTCCCTGAGTCTTATTGAGGGCATATTAATTAGGGAACTGGATGTTTGAAGAACCAGTAAACATTTCCAGCCCACGAAGGTAAATGCACTTACCTGATTTTACCATATGAATTCACCTGCAGCCATATGTGTGGGTTACTGATTTGAAAAGTTACAATTGCATCACCCTAAGGTTCCTGCAGTCTTTGGTGCTGTGCCATGATATTGGGTTTACTTTCAGTGCTGCTACAATATAAGTATTTAACATATTGTGTATAAGGGATACTAACATTAAGCAAAATAAGTAAAGCTAATTATTGTGAAATTAAAAATCTAAGAAACTTTTAAATCTATTAATATGTGTTTGAAAATGCTTACCTACATAAAATTTCCATCGTTATATAAAGACTTTCATAATGCAACTACCCGGCTCTTAAATTCTAAAAAACAGAGAATAAAACTCTTAATTCTAAATTTTTGTCATTGCTCCTGAGATTTGTATCTAAAGTAAAAGACCATAAATAAACTATTTAGGAAACCAGTGTGAAACCTGCTTCAAAACTATATACAAATCATTTCAGACAAAATATATATGTTGACACTTATAAAAATTTTCCATATTACTCATAGAAACAAGGTTCATAAAATTGACATACAGAATACATTAAAATCAGTTCTAATCAAGATTTTGCTGTCCTCCTAAATAAAAATTTCTGCATTTGAGGTATCACTTTAACACATGCCAATATGACATATTTGCAAAACAACCCAGCAGTCTATGCTAAAAATCATCTCTATGAGACCTACTAATAGGCTGAAGTGGACTTATCTTTTTAAACAGGAGATATTTTTAATTGTTATAAAAACAAAGCAGGCAGGTACTGCATTTCATAAAAGAGTGAAACTCTGTTATAAATATTTTCGTTTATAATCTTCCTGCAGACACCATTCATTTAAAAAAGTCCTAGTCAAGACCAATAAAGCAATGTCCTATGGCATTCAAAAAAGTCTAGAGATTTAAAAACAACAGTGAAAAATTTCACTAATTTTATACATTACATCATAGTATATATATAAAGCTATTACAAATTTCAATGTCACTGGTACATGGACACTTGATTCTGCAATACTTAATTATTGGCTAGGCAGATTACCTCTGCTGAACGTAGTAAAGCCATTTTGCAATCAACTTAAAATGCAATAACACTAGCCAAACACATATAAACACCAACAATGATGCATTTTGTATGTACCAATATCCACACTTGTGACATTACTATCAACTAACGAGACTGATATAATACTTTAAAGTCAAAGTACATTAAAACTTTTTTGCTAGAGGGATATGGTCATATATATATATATAAAGGTCTATATAGGAAGGGCTGTGATTTATTGCAAATAATTATCATATAGTAAATCCCAAGATCAAACAATTTTTAAAAACAAATTTTAAAATTTAATGGCATAGGCCAAAGTCTCAGTTACTTCTTAGAGACTTCAGAACTATTAGGGGTAGATGAATGCTTTTCCTTTTTTCTCTTCTTTTTGTCTTTTTTATGATGTTTCCCCTTTCTGGATTTGCTCTTTTTTTCTTTTTTCTTTTCTTTCTTCTGATATTTTTGTTTCTTTTGTTTTGAAGTGTCCTCTTCAGTAGAAGTGGATGAATAAGACCTATGGGCAAGAACATACACTGACTGATGACACTTGCATTTTATGGCTGAGAGGTGTATTTAAACAGAATTTGAAATTTAAATTCTTCCTGGAATAAGGTGATGGTAAGAAACATAAAGAAACTCAAATTAAGTATGTTTCACATATTTGTATTCTCTTAAAATGCTGAATTCAGAATTTGTGCTACTTGCTCACAGTGATAACACAAATTATCTCTATTGTTTAACTCTAGTAATACATTTTGAATTTATAAGAATGAAATGGTTTTTCTGTAATTTTTTCATGCTACCCTTCATAGTGCCTAAGGCATTTGACTGCTACCAGAAGGCTGGCAGTTCAAATGCACCAGCCACTCCTCGGAAGGAAGGCTGGGCAATCTACTTCCGTAATGATACTGACTTGGAAACCCAAGGAGAGGCCGCTATGAGTTAGAACTGACTTGATGGCAGTGAGTTTGGTTTTTTTTACCCTTCAAAGGAGCTCTGGTGGTGCTATGGTTAAAGCACTGGGCTGCTAACCAAAAGGTTAGTGGTTTGAACCCACCAGCCACTCTGTGGGAGAAAGATGAGGCAATCTGCTTCTGTAATGATTTAATAGCCTGGAAACCCTATAGGGCAGTTCTGCTTTGTCCTATTGAGTTGCTATAAAGTTAGAACCAACAGCAGTGGGTTTGGTTTTGGTATCTACCTTTCCAAGTGTTGTAAGGCAAAAAGAGTGGCATTCATCAAACATTATATACCCAATATACCTGTATATAAAATAATGGCTTATTAGCATATTCTTTTAAAAGAACCACAAAAGGATGCAATTATATAAAAAAGGCTATAATTGTACCTTAGCATAAGTGGATGAAAGCTGAAAATTAGCAAAACAAAAGCATTTTTGTTGATTTTCTTTTTTTCTAAGTTAAAGTACTTGATCCCTCTAAATGATAGAAACATAAACCTGTATTTCATAATATTATTAATTACAAAAAGGATTATGTTAAAATGAACATACATATAAATAAGGATGACTTATTTTATTTTTCTCATATTATTCTAATACTAAGTTAGAATAAATTGTAGAATTCCTTCCTCTACTACTAAAAAGAAAGAAGAAAAAAATAAAACACATACCAAAAAACCAGAAGGCGCCACTCTAAGATTTTATATAAAGAGGTGGGTGGCATTCTACTTACATCCAGATTCCAAATATTTGTGAGTAGACAGAAATTGGGTTAATGAAAAACAAGAAAGGCATCTCAAGAACTCAATGACCTAAAATACTAGATGTTAAAACCCAAATTGTGAAAACCTGATCAAGACATAAAATGGAACAAAATGCATTAAAATACAATGTCCCAAGGCTATCTTGTGCCTTCATAGTGACTTGTGTGAATCCCATAACAGTCTTCTTCATGTAGTGACTGTTTTCCTCTAATTCTATAACGGTGTCTTCCTTTCTCCTTTGTCTACTTACTTAGTCCTCTGCCCTTCTGAGCTTATTTTCTCAAGCATCCTCTTGCTCCCTCTTCAGTTCTGTTATTCTTACATCTTATCTGATTTCCTGCTTGCCTTGACCTCTGGAATCACCTGACTAGTGCCTCTTCTCTGCCTATACTTTTTCTGGTTATGGGTTCTCATTTTTAAGGCAAAATGTTAGGCTTTGACACAGCAACACTGCAAACGGCATTTTCTTGCTAAGTGTGCCTAGAGAAGTTCATTTCAGCCCCAGTTTGTGTTCTAAGAGAACTAATGTAGAGAGATAAGAATAAATGATACTATAAAACAAATAAATTAAGATTTGGAAGAAAATATATCTTCTTTTCCTGTAAGCAATCCAATTTGCTATGTTAGTGCAGAATGATTAAACAATTTACTGGTCAAGAATCCTGGGCTCTAGCTTCCAATTAAATTTTTATGTTAAAGATTATTGACATAAATTATTATTAACTCTTGAAACTGAGCTATCTTTTACAATTTGTAAAATATCTGTAGTGTTAAAATGTATAAAAACTGTATAAAAACTAAAAAGTGACAACACCTGATTTATAGAATCCACTGCTACTGTGAGAGAATAGAGTCAAAACCAGATATAATTATGAAGTGCCTTTAAAAATGTCTTTATATGTATGTTTTTTCTAGTATGAATGGAACTATATTCATTATCCAGGAAGAAGCTGCCTCTTATTTCTTTTGATCAATTTCTTTAACCAGTTAGTTGTCAAAAAAGAGTGAAGATTTATAGATGGCTGGTGAGGGTTTTGAAAGACCTGAGGGAATTTTCAGCATTACAAGTAAGTATATACATTCTGCTAATAAATTAATTTCTTAGTATGGCAGTGACATTTTGAGAATACAAATATATAAGTTCCAGCTCCATATATATGAGGAAAAAATATATATGTAAAGAATTTAAACATACACAACTAAAGGTTTGGCTGATATTCTAAAACTTAAAATTCTAGAGTACAAAGAGAATAATCAAAGAATAGGGGCTACTATTTATACATTGATTTGTTCCAAAGAGAAGATTTAAGGTGAGTGAGTGCTAACATTATTTTTATTCCTGACATCAAGAACTTTGCAATTTACCTAATAAATAGGTAGCTCTCATTAATAAAAAATTAATATAAAATTAACTGAAATATACATGAAAAATCACATGTCACAGAGGCATCAGAGATACTGCAGATTTGGTTCCAGGCCACCACAATAAAGTGGCTACCATAATAAAGCGAGTCACATGAAGGTTTTGGTTTCTCAGTGCATGTAAGATATGTTTACACTATACTGTAGTTTAAGAAATATTCAATAGCATTATGAAAGTTTGAAATATTGCGAGAATGAACCAAACTGTAACAGAGACACAAAGTGAGCACATGCTGTTGGAAAAATGACACAAACAGACTTGCTCAACACAAGGTTGCTACAAACTTTCAATTTGTAAAAAACATTATCTGCAAATTGCAAAAAAGCACAGGAGATCTGGTAGCATAGTGCCTAAGGCACTTGACGGCTAACCAGAAGCTGGTGGTTTAAACCCACCAGCCGCTCCTCCAAAGGCAGATTGGGCTATCTACTTCCGTAGTGATACTGCCTCAGAAACCCAAGGAGGGGTTGCTATGAGTTGGGTCTGACTTGATGGCAAACAACAACAACAACTGTAATACATTCTGTACTTACAATCCTGCTTTTATTAAAAAACTGATGGTGAAAAAATACCTTTTCCTTTTTTTCTTCAATTTGATTTTTTCTTTGAGTTTTGCTTTCTTCTCCTCTTCTTCATTTATTCCTGTAATAATAATAATAATTAATAAATCAGGTCAGTATGAGTCTACATGCTAATATGGTAAGTACATGTTTTTGTTTTTGGTTGTTGGTGGTAATGCATTAAATTTACTGGTGAGGATACTACCTTTTCTTGTAAAAATTTTCCCCTTTATTGATTCTTGTTATTCTTTAAAGAATCTTGTGATAGTACTACATGCTTTGAACAAGAATTTGAAATGATACTAAACATATAAAGTAAAAAATTTAAGTACTCAATTTCTAATTCCCATGGAAAATCAATGTCAACAGTTTGATGGGTAATCTCTCAGGCCTTAAAAACAAAAATACACATTGTTTATATTTTCTTGGTTAAACAAAATTAAGATCATTTAATATATATTATTATTAACTTGCTGTTTTAAATATGCAATTTGCTGTGTACTTTTTCTAGGCTTTCTCACTATATAACTAAATGTACATACATATTCTCTTATATATACATAAACATAAGCCCTATTTTCTTTTCTCTTTTGAGAAATGGATTGTGGCATATATGATATGTTCAAACATTTCTTTCAGTTACCATAGCAGACATTCCTCCTTGTCATTAAACATAGACCAATTACATTTTTTAAAACAGAACAGTGTTCCACTGTATACATTAACTATAATTTATTCATACATTTCCCTTTGACACTTTTTTTTTTGTAACTTACTTTTTAAAACTTGTGATTTGGGTGAAAGTTTACAGTGCAAATTCAATTTCCATTTAACTGTTCAAACACATTTTGTTTTGTAACACTGACTGCAATCCCAACAACGTAACAGCTCTCTTCCCACTTCCTCCCTGTGGTTACTACTTCTCTGTGTCCTTCTTTCTTATGCATTCCTGTCCTCTGAGATATCTCCCTGTGCAAATGCTACCCTTCTGATTTTCCATGATTGATTGTTCTAAGGAGTGTACCTATTTGGTGTAATTGTTCACTTTGTAAGCCTGTCTATTGTTGAACTGGAAGCCATGGGAGTGAGTTCAATTCCAGGCCCAATGGGTGACTAGGAGGCACAGCCTTGTGAGTTTCACCAGTTTCTATCAGACCAGTAAGCTTGGTCTTTTATTTTTTTTATGATTTTGATATTTGTTCCAGATTTTTCTCCCACTCTATCCAGGATGAGGGAGCTTTGGTGGCATAGTGCCTACGGCATTTGACTGCTAACCAGAAGGCTGGTGGTTCAAACCCACCAGCCACTCCTCGGAAGGAAGGTTGGGCAATCTACTTCCACAGCGATACTGCCTCGAAACACAAGGAGGGGTCACTATGAGTCAGATCTGACTCGACGGCAGTGAGTGAGTGTGAGTGCTATCCAGGATCTCCAATTTTGATCCCTTTCTGAGTGGTTGGCAATGTAGCCAGGCACCATCTAGTTCTTCTGATTTCAGGGTCATGTAGGCTGAGGTTCCTACGGTTCACTAGATCCCTGCATTAATGGTTTCCATGTATCTTTGATTTTCTTCTCTGTTCTTTGCTCCAGATGAGGAGACACTAATTGTTGCATGTTAGCATAGCTGATCACAAGCTTTTAAGATCCCAGTTGCTATTTACAAAAAAGTAGGATGTAGAACAATGTTTTTGTGTAGCATGTTATGCCAATGGAGCTTTATGTCTCTTGTGACCATAGTCCCAAGCCTGCAGGCCCAGTGACTGATCCCCTAAAGATGTTCAGCTGCTTTCATAACTTTGTCCCCTGCTAGCTTTATTACATAGATGGACATTCTTACTGTATATACAAATATGTATGCAGAAATATCACCTGGCAAACTTATATATGGCCATGGGTATGTTCATTTTTGCATACTCATACCTAATCATTTTGCCTGTCTACCTATGTACCCACTTGTGGATTAATGGTTATTATTCCTGATAATACAATATTGTGTATGTGAAAGTATTTACTTTTGTTGTCTGCACCTCTCACGCACCTCTCTGAGTCTTCCTTTCCCTTAGATGTTAATGTGCTGATTACCTGCTTTTGGTATACTGCCTTTCCATTCACCAAACACAATACTTGTCTCTTACCCATTGAGCAATTTTCCTTCCTCTCCCCACACTGGTAATCAACAAAGAAAGTTTCCTTTCAAGTATAAACCTTTCCCTGATTTTTTTTTATAATAGTGGAGACTCATACAATATTTTTCCTTCTGTGATTGACTTATTTCACTCAGCATAACATCCTCCAAGTCCATCCATGTTATGAGGTGTTTCACGGATTCTTCATTATTCTTTAGTGTTGCATAACATTCCATTTGTGCATGCAACATAGTATGGTTATCCATTTATCTGTTAATGGGTACATAGGTTATTCCCATCTCTTTGCTATTGCAAATAGTGCTGTGATGAACATGGGTGTGTGTATATCTCTTTGTGTCCCAGCTTTCACCTCTCTAGGATTTGTATCTAGTAGTGGGATTGCCCACCACTTGACTGTCAGTTTGTCATACTGTGGTGGCTTGCGAGTTGCTGTGAGGCTGGAGGCTATGCCACTGATTATTCAAATACCAGCAGGGTCACCCGTGGTGGAAACCTTCAGCAGAGCTTCCAGACTAAGACAGACTTGGAAGAAGGAAGGGGCCATCCACTTCTCAAAGAACTGGCAAGTGAAAACCTTATAAATAGCAGTGAAACACTGTCTGATACAGTACTGAAAAACATCATGAATAGCCTTGAAACACTGCCGGTATAGTGCTGGAAGATTAGCCTCTTGGTTGGAAAGCACTCAAACTATGACTGGGAAATAGCTGCCTCCTCAGAGCAGAGTCGATCTTGGTGATGTGAATGGAGTAAAGCTTTCAGGACCTCCATTTGCTGATGTGGCAAGACTCAAAATGAGAAGAAACAGCTGCAAACATACATTAATAATTGGAACATGGAATGTATGACGTATGAATCCAGGAAAATTGTAAGTTGTCAGAAATGAAATGGAACTCATAAAGATCAATATCCTAGGCATTAGTGAACTGAAATGGACTGGTTTTGGCCATTTTGAATCAGGCAACCATATGATCTACTATGCCGGGAATGACAAATTGAAGAGGAATGACATGGCATTCATCATCACAAAGAATGTTTCAAGACCTATTGTGAAGTACAATGCTGTCAGTGATACGATAATATCAATATGCCTACAAGAAAGACCAGTTCATACTATTATTATTCAAATTTATACACCAACCACCAATGCCAAAGATGAGGAAATTGAAGATTTCTATCAACTTTTGCAGTCTGAAATTGACCAAACATGCAATGAAGATGTGTTAATTATTACTGGTAAATAGAATGCCAAAGTTGGAAACAAAGAAGAACCACTGGTATTTGGAAAATATGACCTTGGTGATAGAAATAACACTGGAGGTCACATGACAGAATTTTGCAAGACCAATGACTTAGTCATTGCAAAAACCTTTTTCCAGCAACATAATGGTAGTTATGCACGTGGTCTTCACCAACTGAAGCACACAGGGATCAGATCATTACATCTGTGCAAAGAGGCAAGAATCTCGATATCTTCAGCCAAAACAAGGCTAGAAGTTGACTGTGGAACAGACCATCAACTGCTCATATGTAGGTTCAAGGTGAAGCTGAAGACAATTGAAACAAGTCCATGGCAACCAAAATATTACCTTGATTATATCCCTCCTGCGTTTAGAGACTATCTAAAGAATAGATTTGATGCATTGAACACCAATGACCCAAAACCAGAGGCATTGTGGGAGGACATCAAGAAAATCTTACATGAAGAAAGCAAAAGATCATTAAAAAGACAGGACAGGAAGAAAAAACCAAACTGGATGTCAAAAGACACACTGAAATGTGCCCTTGAATGGAGAGCAGCTAAAGCAAATGGAAGAAATGACAGAATATGAAAGCTGAACAGAAGATGTCAAAGAGCAACTTGAGAAGACAAAATCAATATTATAATGAAGTGTATAAAGACCTGGAGTTAGAAAACCAAAAGGGAAGAACATGCTCAGCACTTTTCAAGCTGAAAGAATTAAAGAAAAAAATTCAAGCCTTGAATTGCAATACTGAAAGGGAAAAATATTGAATGATGGGCAAAACATTGAATGATGCAGGAAACATCAAAAGAAGATGGAAGGAATACACAGAGTCACTGTACCAAAAAGAATTTGTTGATGTTCATGCATTTCAGGAGGTGGCATATGATCAAGAACCAATGGCACTGAAGGAAGAAGTTAAAGCTGCACTGAAGGAATTGGTAAAGAACAAGGCTCCAAGAATTGATGGAATAGCCATTGAGATGTTTCAACAAATGGATGCCCTGCTGGAGGCACTCACTCGGTTATGCCAAGAGATTTTGAAGACAGCTACTTGGCCCAGTGACTGGAAAAGATCCATATCTGTACCCATTCCAAGGAAAGGTGATACCACAGAATGTGGAAATTATTAAATAATATCATTAATATTACAAGCAAGTAACATTTTGCTGAAGATAATTCAAAAACATTTGTAGCAGTATACTGACAAAGAACTTCCAGAAACGCAAGCTGAATTCAGAAGAGGGTGTGGAATGAAGAATATCATTGCTGATGTCAGATAGATCTTGGCTGAAAGCAAAGAATACCAGAAAGATCTTCACTTGTGTTTCATTGACTGTGCCAAAACGCTCAATTGTGTGGATCATAACAAATTATGGATTAAATTGAGAATAGGAATTCCAGAACACTTAATTGTGCTCATGAGGAACCTGTACATAGACCAGGAGGCTGTCATTTGAACTGAACAAGGGGATACAGCATAGTTTAAAATTAGGAAGAAAGTGCATCAGGGTTGTATCCTTTCACCATACTTACTCAATCTGTATGCTGAGCAAATAATCCAAGAACCTGGATACATGAAGAAAAGTGTGGCATCAGGATTGGGGGAAAGCTCATTAACAACCCGATATATGGAGATGATACAACTTTCCTTGCTGAAACTGAGGATGACTTGAAGCACTTAGTGATGA